CGGTAGAATTCCAAGCATAAACATAATAGTCATGATGGAAACAGAAAATCATTATACAAACACCACAGTAATGATTATTGCAGTCAAGAACCATCAATAGAATTATCACATAATGCAGTAATCTCACTTCTGGGTATACATCCAAAAGAATTTAAAGCAAGACCTTGAAGAGATATTTGCACACTATATCACTGCAGCATTATTCACAATAGCCAAGATGTGGAAGCAACCCAATGTCCATCAAAATGGATAAAGCAAATGTGGTATATACATGTAATGGAAAATTACACAGCCTTAAAAAAGTAAAATCCTGTCACATGCTACAATATGGATGAACCTTAAGGACATTATGCTAAGCAAGGTAAGTCACAAAGGGACAAATACTATATGATTCCACTCATACGTAGTATCCAAAATAGTCTAAATCATAGAAACAGAAAGTAGAAATGTGGTTGCCAGGGGTGGAGTGGGGTGGGGTGAATTAGTGTTTAATGGGTATAGAATTTCAGTTTAGCAAGATGAAAAAGTTCTAGAGATCTACTGTACAACAATGTGAATATACGGGGCACCTGGGTGGCTCAGTCGTTAAGTGCCTGTCTTCGGCTCGGGTCATGGTCCCAGGGTCCTGGGATTGAGCCCCGCATCGGGCTCCCTGCTCGGCAGGAGGCCTGCTTCTCCCTCTCCCACTCCCCCTGCTTGTGTTCCCTCTCTCACTGTGTCTCTCTCTGTCAAATAAATAAAATCTTTTAAAAAAATAAAAATGAAACAATGCGAATATACTTTACACTACTAAACTATATAGTTAAAAAATGGTTAACGTAGTAAATTTAATGCTATGTGATTTTTCTAACTACAGCTTTTTATTTATTTATTATGATTTTATTATTTATTTATTTGTCAGAGACAGAGACAGCACAAGCAAGGGGAGGGGCAGAGAGAGAAGCAGGCTCCCCGCCGAGCAGGAAGCCTGATGTGGGGCTCAATCCCAGGGCCCTGGGATCACAACCTGAGCTGAAGGCAGATGCTTAACCAACTGAGCCACCCAGGGGCCCCCACTTTTAAATTAATTAATTATTTAATATTATATATCTTAAAAAAAGAACCACTGGTGGGTGTTAAAAGTAGTGAGCAGAAGTATGCTGAGAAACAAGATATCTGCATAGATTCTAAGTATCTTCTCACAAGGTACTTATTAATTACAAAGGGGAAAATAGTAAGTTTATAGTAGGGAAACCTGACAGACATCAACTTAATAATCAAGTAATCAAAGTTAACATCACCAGTAACAATACATATTGGCATCATATATCCCCTGTAATTACGCACTGAGAAGGGAACATCACTTTAGCCAAAACTGCATAACCTAATTATAAGAAAATATTAAACAAACTCAAATTGAAGAACCAAAAAAAGGACATTAATGGAAAAAAGACTGGTAAAATTGGACTAAGTTACATAGATTAGTTAATAGTATTATATCAGTGTTAATTTCCTAGTTTCAATAATTGCACTATGGTTACAGAAGATATTAGCATTAGAGAAAACTAGGCAAAAGGTATATGGGAACCCTACTATTTCTTTTTTTTTTTTTTAAGATTTTATTTATTTATTTGAGAGAGAGAGAGCACGAGAGGGAAGAGGGTCAGAGGGAGAAGCAGACTCCCTGCCGAGCAGGGAGCCCGATGTGGGACTCGATCCCGGTACTCTAGGATCATGACCTGAGCCGAAGGCAGTCGCTTAACCAACTGAGCCACCTACTATTTCTACAATTTTTCTGTAAGTGTAATTTATTTCAAAATTTAAAAGTTTTTATTTTTTTTTTTTTAAGATTTTTTATTTATTTGACACAGAGAGAGGGGGAGAGAGGGAGAGAGCACAAGCAGGGGCAGCAGCAGGCAGGGGAGAAGCAGGCTCTCCTCTGAGCAGGGAGACCGACGTGGGGCTTGATCCCAGGACTCTGGGATCATGACCTGAGCCAAAGGCAGACGCTTAACCGACTGAGCCACCCAGGTACCCTGTTTCATTTTTTTTTTTTAAGATTTATTTATTTATTTATTTATTTGAGAGAGAGCAGAGTGAGTGAGAACATAGTGGGGGGCAGAGCCAGAGGAAGACAAAGAAGCAGGCTCCCTGCTCAGCAGGGAGCCCAACACGGGGGCTCGATCCCAGGACCCCAGGATCACAACCTGAGCCAAAGGCAGACTCTTAACCTACTGAGCCACCCAGGCGCCCCTAAAAAAAGTGTTTTTAAAGTAGACTCATCAAAGTATGACAGAACTTCAAAAGGTTATTTAGGAAAGACAGAGATGAGAATACAATGTCCCTAGCTTTTTGAAAATGATAACAGGATTATAGCATTGGACATTACTTTGCAGATCATCTGATACTATGACTCAACTAATGAAGAATTCTTTTATGTCATGCCCTTAACATACAGTCTTCCAACCATTGCCTGAATACTTCCAGTAACAGGAAATTTACTATGTCAAAATGCAAGCCACACATTCCATGACCCCACAATTCTAATTAACACAAAGTTCTTCTCCATTCTGAGCTAAATCTGTCAGACATGTACCTGAGGAAAACCAGAGTTTTCCAACCAGGGGTCCTCAAAGTGGGAAAATGTGTCAATGAGGCACGACAAAATGTCCAGTTTATTAACATTAGCTAAAATTACATCTTGTCAGCATGAGATAAACCACCCTAAGTTATTTACATGGATGATTTGCTTTAATGCTGTCCCAGAACCTAATACAGTACCTGGTACATATTAGGTACTCAAGAAATGTTTACTGATTCACAGAACGAGGCACAAGTCTGAGAGTCACATGATGAGTTTCCCCCTCCACCACCGATGTATGCACAAAAACAAATGACTTAGAACTCTATGATAAATTCCATTAAAAGTTTCCAATGCATAGAACATACCCCAACTCTGAAAAGAAATAGCTGCATGACTACACAAAGTAGAATGCCTCCTCTGTACAGACATATTCTTTACTCATTCAACATATATTTAGTGCCTACTCTGTGCCAGGGTGAGTGAGAAGCCCAGGAAGTACAGGCACAAACAAAACGTCCTCAGAAGGGCACGGCTTGGGGCGCCTGGCTGGCTCAGTTGGTTAAGCGTCTGCCTTCAGCTCAGGTCATGATCCCAGGGTCCTGGGATCGAGTCCCACATCTGGCTCTCTGCTCAGTGGGGAGTCTGCTTCTCCCTCTCCCCCTGTGATCTCTCTCACTTTTGCTCTCTCTCAAATAAACAAAATCTTAAAAAAAAAAAAAAGAAGGGCAAGGCTTACACACTAGAGGGAATTACACTATTTTAAATTATTTTGGTATATTTACATAAATAAATTATGTAACACAATTTTATATCAAAAATATTTTTAATTGCATCAAATATGAAAAAGAAGTTAGTGGCTACAGAAGGAATTCATATAAATTAGTAAGAAAAATAAATTCCCATAGATAAATGGAGAAATTATACAAGCTTATGATTTTTACAAACTAGAATATAAGATAAACATAGAAAAATGTTTAGCCCTGATAGATAAACAGAGAAATACAAAGCAAAACAAGGTGGGGGGTGGGGGCACCTGGGTGGCTCACTTGTTAAGCGTCTGCCTTCGGCTCAGGTCATGGTCCCAGGGTCCTGGGATCAAGCCCCACATCAGGCTCCCTGCTCCGTGGGAAGCCTGCTTCTCCCTCTCCCACTCACCCTGTTTGTGTTCCCTCTCTCTCTGTGTCTCTGTCAAATAAGTAAAATCTTTAAAAAAAAAAAAAAGCAAAACAAGGTAACATTTTCTACCCAGTTAATTTTTTTTAAAACACCCAATTCAGAGGAGTTAATAATGAAAGACTAGTTATATATACATTGCTGGTGGCACTATAAATTAAAACAACCTCCTTATGGAGAGAGAAACTGCTCATGCTCATTGACCCAGGGTATACCCTCCTAGTAATTTATCTTTAATAAATTATTAAAAATTTTAAAAACTATATATCAAGGGCGCCTGGGTGGCTCAGTTGGTTGGGCGACTGCCTTCGGCTCGGGTCATGGTCCCGGAGTCCCAGGATCGAGTCCCGCATCGGGCTCCCGGCTCGGCGGGGAGCCTGCTTCTCCCTCTGACCTTCTCCCCTCTCATGCTGTTTCTCTCTCTCTCTCTCTCTCTCTCAAATAAATAAATAAAATCTTTAAAAAAAAAAACTATATATCAAGAAAATGGTAACTATATTAAAGCCTATAATGGCAAAAAAATATTGGAAATAATTTTAATATCAAACAAAGCCTAAGAGAATAACACGTAGCCATTAAAAAATTTAATTATGCAATCTAACTAACATGAATAATGTCTGCTCTAATAAGTGAAAACACACCAGAAGAAAAAATTCTGTGGATATTTGTTAAGGTATCTAAGGAAAAAATTAGTACACACATACACACACATAAGGACTGGAAAAAAAACCAGCAGATGTTTTCACGTTTGAGGTCATGGATGATTTTTATTTCCTTTATTACTAAATTATTTGTATAATTAACAAAAATCAGGAGAAAAAACTCTCAAGGAGGGTCCAAGGTAATGAATCACGTGGTCAATGGTAAACTAAGGCCTCAAATAATTGTTCCTTTGGATTTGGTGTTCATAAAAAGAAAAAAAAAATGGAAGAAACATTTCTTACCCCAAATAAAAGTGGCACAATGTGGCTACAAAAAGAAAACCGAAGTTAACTCTGAGACGAATATCTGGAACATTCCCAACAGCAAAAATCATCAGACTGTAGCATGGTATCCTAGGCTAAGTTCCACTGCTGGGGTATTTAGAAGCAACGCCCTAGACACCATACTGTAGGAATCAGTCCTGAGCTGGCACCACAGAGACCCAGAAGTGGTCTCATGAGGTTTTTCCATCACACAATTTGTTTGGTTAATCTATAAATATATGACATTTGCAAATAAACACTAAGGTTTTCATACCAAGCAAAGGAACAACAAACCTTACCTGGAAAGTACCAGACAGAGCCCTGCCCCACTGTCCCTGTGTAGAATACACAGGTACCAATCGGCTGCATACTGGAAACCACTGGGAAATGTTAATCCGGTTCCTCTAGAGAAAGAAAAAAAGTGTCTGTCAAGAATTATTTCCAACTCCATGTATAGAAATGTAGAAATCCTGCCAGAACAGGGTACATGAAAAGAGAACTTCCAGGGCGCCTGGTGGCTCATTCAGTTAAACGTCTGCCTTCGGCTCCGGTCATGATCCCAGGGTCCTGGGATCGAGTGCGGTGTCAGGCTCCCTGCTCAGCTGGGAGTCTGCTTCTCCCTCTCCCTCTGCCCCTCTCTCCGCTCATGCTCTCTCTCTGTCAAATAAATAAAATCTTTTTTTTTAAGATTTTATTTATTTATTTGACAGAGAGACAAAGCGAGAGAGGGAACACAAGCAGGGGGAGTCGGAGAGGGAGAAGCAGGCCTCCCACCAAGCAGGGAGCCCGATGCGGGGCTCGATCCCAGAACCCTGGGATCATGACCTGAGCCGAAGGCAGACGCTTAATGACTGAGCCACCCAGGCGCCCCATCAAATAAATGAAAAAAATCTTTTAAGAAAAAAAGAGAACTTCCAAAATAGGACCAGGACCAAACCTCCCCATGCTCATCTCTCTAAGGATAAGATGAACCCCTGTCTATTCCTGATCCATGAACCAAAACAACTCTAGTAATGGCTGACTCAAAAAGGGGGACATGGTTCCCTCTCAGAAAAGTAACAAAATAAGCAGACTTCAGGCATTTTACAATTAGATTATCATTTAAACAAGAGTTTGCAATGCCTTTTCGTAAACACAGACTTGTCTGATCTTTACAGAACCCCTTTATAGTAAGCCGTGTGGGATCATTATTATCCTCAAAAGGATGAAGATCCTAGGGCTGAAATTTTTAGGGTGGGAAAACACAGCAGGCCAATTTGATTTCCAAAACAAAAGAGGAGGATTAAATGGCTGTTAGAGTTATGACTGGAGTTCAGTTTTCCCCTCTGGTATTAAATGACCTCAGAAAGGCCTCAGCCAAAGTAAAAGACTAGGCTGGGGAAAAGAAGAGCTCCATTTTGTAAATGAGAAGCCTGCTTTATTTTACAAACCTGAAATACATTCCACTGTATAAATGGCATTCATGTACACAGTACTGGAGATCTCTATTCTAGAAACCAACTCAGGGATCCAAGGGGTTTCTTTCTACTTGACCTATAGGCTTTATAGGGCCATAATAAGGACTGGATACATAAATTGTTTAAAAACACTTTGCCAGGGCACCTGTTTAAAAAGCTTTGCCAGGGGCTCAGTAGATTAAGCGTCAGACTCTTGATTTCGGCTCAGGTCATGATCTCAGGGTGATGAGAGCAAGCCCCACTTCAGGCTCCATGCTGAGCATGGAACCTGCTTGAGATTCTTTCCCTCTCCCTCTGCCCCCCACCCCCCACCCTCACTCATGTGCACATGCATGTGCACACACTCTCTAAAAGATAAATAAATAAAAATTAATTAATTTAAAAAAAAAACACATAAACTACAGTACTAGGAGCCAAAGATCTGGATTCTAGTTTAAACTCAGCTATTCTAATATGATCTTTACAAGTAATTTACCCTCTAAAATGCACAGGTTCCTCATAGCAATTATTAGTAATACTTATGAGCACTTGATATGTGCTGGGCACTTTTCTAGGTACTTTACATATATAAACTCATTTAAAGCTCACAATCACCACCCAATGACCTAAGAATATTGCCATTATTTCATATGGATAAAGAAACTGAGGTATGGATAGGATAAGTAATTTCCCAAGGTCACATAGTTAATATAATGACAGGGTTAAGATTTGAACCCAGGCAGCCCAACTCCAGAATCCATGCTTATTTATGAGATGAAAGGGTAAAAGGAGTATCTCCAAAGTCTCTCCTAACACTCTATGATCTAGTCTTGAAACAATTAAAACACAGCATAGTACCGTGGAAAGAGCCATGTACTTGGACTCAAAAAGCACTGATTTGACTCTTTGCTCCACTGATGAGCTACAAGCCTTTGTTGCCTCTTCTATAAAATAAAGAAAAAATCCCTACTTCTCAGGATTTGAGAAAAATCAACAAATGTACCTTGCAGCATGTCCAAATAAATATTAAGTTGAATCTGAATCTCCATTTCCTCATGTGTAGGCAGGAAAGGGTAAGGGTGATGTGGAGAAAGGTACAGGAATTTTAAACCTAGAGATGCTTTCTAAAGTGCCTCACAGTTTCAAAACTGTGTAACTATTTTTATTTTTTTAAAAGATTTTATTTATTTGACAGGGAAAGACACAGTGAGAGAGGGAACACAAGCAGGGGTAGTGGGAGAGGGAGAAGCAGGCTTCCCGTTGAGCAAGGAGCCTGATGCGGGGCTCGATCCCAGGACCCTAAGATCATGACCTGAGCCAAAGGCAGACACTTAAGGACTGAGCCACCCAGGCACCCCGAAACTGTGTAACTATTTTTAACAGACCACTCACAACACTTTATGTTTTAAATGAAAAGTAAAGCTTCAAAATATTTTATTTCAGCTGAGATTTGATCTGTTGGGATAATATTCAAATAAGAGACAGTTACTGGCTTTTTGTTTATTAACACTGAATCATTTGCCAGAATCATTCAATGTTAGATGTTCCTTTCCTAAAAATGTAAATACGGGATAAACTTCTGCAGATTCAAGCCCAAAGCAGGGGAAGAAAAGTAATGGGAAATTACAAGTAGGAACAATACAAACTTTTGAAAGATTTTCTGAAGAATTTCATCATATTTTTTCCCCACATCAACAAAATTTTTCTCTATAATTTTGGTTCTACTTGGTTTTATGCCAATACTTTAAATCAGTTCTTATTAGAAGAAAGAAGCAATCAGCTCTGTTCTTTCCTTCTCCAGTCCTACAACAACAATTTCTTGTCCAAACCCTTAATTGAAACTGAGGTGCAGCAGAAAGGGTATTTGAATCCCAAGACAGTTATTAAATAGCTGTGTGACCCTGAACTAGTTACTCAACATTCTAGACCTCCATTTTCCCTTACGTAAAGTGGGAATAATAAAAGCTACCTCACAGGAGTGTTCCAAGCATCATTTGTAAAAGCACCTCAAGAACACTGAAGCACAGGACACCTGGGTGACTCAGATGGTTAAGCGTCTGCCTTCGGCTCAAGTCATGTTGAGTCCCACATCGGGCTCCCTGCTCAGCGGGGAACCTGCTTCTCCCTCTCCAGCTCCCCCTGCTTGTGCGCTCTCTCTCTCTCTCTCTCTCTCTCTCTCTCTCTCTGTCAAATAACTAAAATCTAAAACACACAAAAAAGCATCATTTTAACAATTGTTACTGAATTATGTACATAAGCTTCTCCTTTCACAGCAAACTGTCAGAGCAGCAAGAACTACTTTCTTAAAATATTGTTTTGAACCTGGTATTCCCTTTCTCAAAAGTTTGCAGTGCCTCCAAGTGCCCTTTTAGTCAAACTTAAACACCTGATCTTTACCAACGGGACCCTTCTAGACTCAACTTTATACTTACATACCCTGCCTTGTATTCTCCATTCAGCAGTTCCAAAACCTGACTCAGATTCCCTGGTTTGGGAATTACTGCTCCTCTCCACACAAGCTAATCCCCTTCTGGTCAGTTCCTCTGGGACTCTTTTCCTCCCTCTTACCCAACCCATGAGCTCATTAGCTTCAAGAAGTCTCCCCAAACTCCAGGTACTGGTTCTACTGACTCTATTCGGCCCATTTTCCTCCGCACCTCTCCCAGATTTATATTTATAAATGAATATAAATCTGTGGACGTACTTCTCTCCCTCTTAAAGATACTGACATTTCAGGCCTGTAACAATTAGCATACCTCAACTCCCAAGTTTAGGAAAACATTTATAGCCATTTCCAATGGTTAAAATTATTGCTTTAACTTAGGATAATATATACACCATAATTAAATGGGAACTTGTTTTATTGTCTTTTTGCCTCACCAACACTTCAAAACCAAAATTTTAAAGACAGGTTTCACGTTTTTATTTCCTGTGCATATTGTAAATTGCTGGTGATTTTACATTTGTATTTCAAAATACTCTGACAGACCAATTTTTCAACTATACCTTAATCAGTCCACTGACCAGCCTGTTGCCACATGTGGTTTGTTTTTTTTTTTAAAGATTTTATTTATTTATTTGAGAGAGAGAGAATGAGAGATAGAGAGCACGAGAGGGAAGAGGGTCAGAGGGAGAAGCAGACTCCCTGTCGAGCAGGGATCACGATGCGGGACTCGATCCCGGGACTCCAGGATCCTGACCTGAGCTGAAGGCAGTCGCTTAACCAACTGAGCGAGCCAGGTGCCCTGCCGCATGTGGTTTTTAAGATACATAGTATTTTCCTCAGCTTACTCATGAGCTGGAAAAGGCTTTACAGGGAGTCCATTCTCCTATTCCCCATAGTGTTCTTTTATAAAGTGCACACAAACACTGAGTTAGTAAATACTGAACCATTGCTCCTAGGGTAAATACAGGCTTAGGTGTCTGCAAGCCTCCGGTCACATTTTCATCAACCAATCAATACATAACCTTGTGTGTTTCTGTTTAAAGACATCTTGTTTTATTACGTATGTGTATATATATGCATATATAGTTGATTCATTAACATTGAACTCATGGCCAATAGCACCATAACTCACTCCTGAACAAAACTTACCTAACACATAAATTTTCTCTGTAAGGAACATCACAGCCTTCTTGCACTTAGCAACACTTGATAGCACTAAATGGCACTAACATTTGGGGACCATATTAAACAGGGAAATCACCAACAAAGCACAAAAATGCAGAAAAAAAAAAAAAACATGGCATTAAATAGACCGTGAAAAGGATCGATCCTGGGATCGAGTGCGGTGTCGGGCTCCCTGCTCAGCTGGGAGACTGCTTCTCCCTCTCCCTCTGCCCCTCTCTCCGCTCATGCTCTCTCTCTGTCAAATAAATAAAATCTTTTTTTTTAAGATTTTATTTATGTATTTGACAGACAGAGACAAAGCGAGGGAACACAAGCAGGTTGTGTTGTTGCATGTTGC